CCAGCGACTGTGTCTATCTCTGCCTCACTCCCACCAGTGGGGATGCGGTACGGCAGTGGACCCACGAAGGCGACTACGCTGCCTCGTATGGTCCCTCCCGCCACACACGTGCGGACACCCAAACAGACCCCTCTGTGTGTGAAAGTCTCTCACGATGTGGCCCTGGTGGAGCGAGTACTGGCTGCCCTCCCTTTGCTGTCAGATTAACTCGCACATGCCCGCAGCGCAGGGAGGCCACATTCCTCTCCACATAAACGTGCCGGAGCTCGTCATGGTGTGGAAGGTAATCCCACACTTCGCCCCTCTGCTGCAGGACCGGCGCGTGCTGGTCCGCACCGACAACAGGGCTGCAGCAGCCTACATAGACTGCCAGGGCGGGGTGTGCTCAGCGCAGCTGCTGGGCTTGGCCAGGTGGCTGCTCCTGTGGGCGCACACTCATCTGCTCTCCATCAGAGCTGATTACATCCCTGGCGTGTTGAACAGAGGGGTGGACATCATGTCGAGGGGGGGCCCTCGCCCAGATGAGTGGTGCCCCAATCCCGATCTGGTGGCCCAGATCTGGCTCCGTTTTGGCATGGCAGAGGTGGATTTGTTTGCCAACTGGGAAAACGCTCAGTGTGCCCTGTGGGTTTCAAAGAGCCTGCGAGACGTCCCCCTGCTGGGGGTGGACGCCTTCGCACACCCCCTGTGGCCTCCCCGGCTGCTGTAAGCTTTTCCACCAGTTCGGCTGATCCCGCACCTTCTGGACCGTGTAATGTTTAGCCCCATGGTTGAAGGAGGAGACATGGACATAGAGTTCTTCACTTGGTGCTTCAATTTATTTTCACCAGATACGAGGAAAGTGCAGTTGTGCAAGTGAATTATTGTAAAAATATATCAAAAAATTAACAAAAACAAACAACGAGGAAACTAAGTATATACTATTCAAATTATCATTAAAACTGAGATATTACACAACACAAAAACAAAACCTATATCGGGCTCCAGCACATGTGCCCTTCCAGGCCAAAGCTGTTCTCCCCAGGGGGGCCTCTGCCTCCTTCCTTTATACCAGAAGCCCCTCCTACAAGACAAACCAAAGTTATTGACAATCAATTAAACACCATTATGTTATCTCAACAATCAAACACATCTCTGGCTACATCAACACACAACACATCAACTATAAAACCAGAAATGAAATGTTACAGGCTAAACAAAAGCTTCTCAAAACAGCAACTTTAAGGTACTCCCGTACACCCCTCTGTACTGGCTCACACTTGGAACATTCCAGGTCTTCCCCCTATAAATGACTCCACACTCCATCACCTCCTGTTTGCCCCTTCGGCCCAGATCCCTGCTTGAGGATGAGAACAGGTGAATAAAACATGCAAACATTTGAATGACCTTGGGTAAATCCCATAAACTAAAATAAATGACTTGAAATGAACTGTGTATGTGTTGTATTTATCTAACCATGATTTCAACTCTTCCGACTAGTACTTAAATGAACTGACATGAAATGACAAGCCATGTGTCCATTGATGCTAGCCCATATGCTAAGGGTAACCGTCCTATGCTAATGCTCAGCTAAGGTTAGCCTGGCATGCTAAGACCAATACTACTGCTATCTTAAATGAAGGCATGGAGTAGCCCCATGACAGACCGCCTTACAGTTTTCAGCCTTGGTGGGGGTTCTGGTGGTTCTGGAGCGCATGAGTGCGTCCTGGTTTCCCTGCCTCCAATGGTTGCTTGGTGGGACAGCCGTTGAAACTCCCCTTGAGTGGGGGATGCCCTCTCTCAGGCGGGGGGCACGATCAGGAGTTGTCCGCTTCCCCTGGAGTGGGGGATGCCCTCTCTAAGGCGGGGGGCACGATCAGGAGTTGTCCGCTTCCCCTGGAGTGGGGGATGCCCTCTCTCAGGCGGGGGGCACGATCAGGAGTTGTCCGCTTCCCCTGGAGTGGGGGATGCCCTCTCTAAGGCGGGGGGCACGATCAGGAGTTGTCCGCTTCCCCTGGAGTGGGGGATGCCCTCTCTCAGGCGGGGGGCACGATCAGGAGTTGTCCGCTTCTCTGAGAAGCGGCACCTGGAGGGTCTAGGTCTCTACCGTGAGGTGGTTTGCACCATCCAGGGATCGAGAGCCGCCTCGACTCAGTCCTCTTACTCCTCCAAGTGGTCGGCATGGATTAGTTCGTTATACTGGTCAAAATACTACTGTAATGTTGCACTGCGAGTATACCTGAGTTTCCAGCATTTTGAATGATGCCGTTTCTTTTTAAGTCTCATTTTGGCTGATCCCGAGTGCTCGCTTATGAGTTCAAGCATGCAGAGGAGCACACCTAAAGTACACGCTTGGAAATGTAGTGGTTGCAATCTGAAACGTCACCACTAGAGGTCACTGAAAACTAAATGTGGTCTCTTTAAATTAATAACTGTAACAAAATTACCGTTAATGGCCAGTTGTTAAAGGATTTGGAGATCTCTTATGCAACATTAAAAGAACCAAGCGTGTACACAAGCATTTATATAAAAGGATACACAAAATCAAAACACATGAATCAGTCTAAAATGCACCCAAGTAAGACAAACAGATGTATGTGTGTATCTCTTTAGACCATTCTCATCTCAGGGCGTCCAATACCAATGCTTTCAGAAAAAGTGACTTAGTTGTTTGGCGCTAAAAGTATCCTTCAGCATCTGTATGAGATGCTCTGGGTGACTCAGGTGCATGCTGATCTGTAAAACTGTGAAATAATAGCAAATAGAGTACGTCTGTTTGCTGTGCCGTTTAACCCTTTGATTGTCGCAAATTCGCATCACACCACTTCCATTCAGACTGCAGCCGAGCTAGCGTATGTATTCCCAAAAGGCCAGTTTGTGCATATTTGATACGTACCTAGAAACCTTTTGCAAGCACTGTATGCCTGTAGTCGCAAATTTTAATTATACCTAAATTTATATCTATTTTATGTGCTATTAATATCCACTTAATTTATGAAGATTCTCAGTCGTCCAGGTCATAGTTCTGAGAACTGAAGAAGTCCTTTGGATGAGGGACGAAACGTCTTCCAGTATCTTCAACCAAGTCCAGTTGCCCTTGATTTTAACCATGGTTGGATCCACTTAATTTATCATCAGCATGAAAGCAAAAAAATATTTTTTTCTATATTTTTAAATATAAATGTAAATACATTTAGACGCCAAGGGTTAACTCTGACAGGGTAAACACTATTCATCATGACATTTTACAAATTATGGTTCAGATGTCATTCTAATACTGCACAGATAACTTGTGTTTGCACAAACTAAGTTGTGGGAGGAAAGAAGGGAAAATCTGTTCTGTCTACTCATCCCTTACAGGTGTTACCATTTATTTATATTCTTTCATGACAGTAACACTCAATGATGTTATTATCATGGCACTTCAGGTATGTGGAAGTCTCTTTCACTGAAGAGCAGTCTGCTTATAATTCATACTTACTGTATATGTCTCTTTAATGAAAAAGTAAATGCTGAGATCTATGACATCACTACAGTCTGATGTAGAAAGAGACGAGTGGTGCAACAATCAGACAGGTTGTAAACAAGACAACAAGTCGTTGCTTTTTGCTGTTAGGCTAGTCTGCAAGGTAATGTACGGAGTACTCAAGCAGCACTACCTGATGCTGTGAATTATCACTGAGTCTGGTTATTTGCCCACACCATAAGACAATTGGTTCCAGCCCGACTCCCTCTTTTATATAATGCAGGACAAAGACAGCAATGAGATGGCACAAGCTGGCGTTAAGCAGGTGTTGAAATAACCATGCCATATAAACAAAAAGCAACATCTAGTGGGATTCATTGGTAACACCAGGCTAGCTAGCTTCACCTTACTGCGTGAAATACAAACATGATGATGATAACTTTATTTTTCTAGAACTTTTCAAAATCAGGTTACAAAGTGCTGTACAGTAGAAACAAACAAGATCCATACACATAAAGTAAACAATATAATTAAAATTCAAATAATACAACAATAACAGCTGTAAATACAACTGTTATAAAAAAAAGCCAGACAATAAGTGAGACTTTAAAAGAGGCCACTGAGTTCGCCTGCCTGAGATTTCTAGGCAGAGAGTTCCACAGCTGAGGGCCAGAACAGCAAAGGCCCAGTCATCTTAAGTGACATGACGAGACTTTGGACCCATTAGTAGAGCCCTGATGGAGGAACTCAGGCATCGGTCCGGCTCGTAAGGGGCTATCAAACCATAGATATGGGTCATATGAGTCTGACCGTTAAAGGACACCTATTATTCTGCATGTCCAGTCCTATATTGTAGCTCTGTGACTCCTGTATGGCAGCTTTGCATGATTTAAAGTTTTTTTCTATCTTATAATGTCCCCTTAAGTAAGGTTTTCATTTCAGCCTCTGTCTGAATATGCTCCTGTCCACCCCCCACCAAATGTCAGTCACAACTATAATTTTCAAAATTTATAGTAATGAATGATTTAATACAGTAATTTTAGTAAAATGAGGTAGAAAAAAAGAGGCTTCTCATTTTTACTCTGGATATGTTTGTTTCCATGAAATTGAGCTAAACAACCGCTTCTCTTGGAAGTTGAAGGTATATTGTTAATTCAGAAAATCTGAGCAAAACCTTTTATTTTTTTCATATTTTTCCCAAATAAAAGCATCTCAGAAACAATTAAATAACTATTAAATAAATAATTATTCATGAGTTCAGAAAAACAAACCATAATTTCTTTTCTCAAATCCATATTGCTTCTATATTTCAGTGCAGACTGTGCCAAAGATTCTACAGTTAAAATGCTCTACTCACTTTGATTGAATGTTTTATCTGGCAAACTGCAAACAGAGCAGTTTAGTTCTAGGATAATGTTCATTTTGTGAGACCTTCGTCAGACGGCTGCAGACACCAGTTCCTTGCTTTAAAAGAAAACCTTTCACAGACAACATGATATGAATATATTTAGTCTAATACATTTGTGACTTTTTAAGTCATTATTTCAGAGAAAGTTTAGGGGAGTGTTTTTAAATTAAAAAATGTCCTGAAAATGTGCCTTCTTATTTCTGGTAATTTCAGACCATACAAAAGAGGGTTTAGAAGTGGAGGTATCATTACAAACTCCAATGATAAAATTACAGCAAAAAATGGGTTTAGATTTTCAACATTAAAACGACTTAAGGCAATATCACAAAATACACTGAAGGAATAAGTGACAAATGAAATAGTATGAGGTAAGCAGGTTTGGAACACTTTGCTCTTGAATTCAGATGAGCTTTTTCTGCACACAAGAATTATTCTTAAGTAAGTATACAAGACATAGATCAGGGGCAGGATTACTGTAATTGTGGTTACAAGCAAGCCAACAATATTGTTGATAAAAGTGGAAACACACGACAATTTAGCAATATTCCAGATTGCACAGTATACTTTTAGGATCTTGTTGCCACACAGAGGAAGCCTAATGACTAAACCAAGACACAGCGCAATAGAAAAGGCTGGACAGATCCAAGCAAAGCCTGCCAACATACGGACTTTCTTAGGGGTCACCTTGCTGTGATAGTGTAAAGGATCACATACAGCAACATATCTATCATACGCCATAATACCCAGGATGGTCATTTCATAGGAAGCATATGTGTAAATAATATAGATCTGAGTGAAACAAGCAGGACCTGAAATTAAATGAGAATCGGACAGAAGGTCCATGAGGAATCTGGGGAAGAAGCCAGTGGAACCATACAAAGCATTGACAGACAAAAATGTAATAAAAATATACATGGGCTCATGAAGTGTTTTCTCACGTGATATTACTAGTATTATAACAAGATTAGCACAGACAATAAAAGCAAACAGCAGAAAGCACAGAACAAACGCTGGATAGCGGTAAGACCCTATGTTCACATACATGGTGAGGTTAAAGTGAAACATTATAGTGGCATTTTCCATTTCACAAAGTCAGGCTGAAACAGAGATTTGCCGTGAAAAATCCTTAAAACCTTCTTCTAACTGAAAAATCTGAAAATAATGTTTGATATTGACATCTGTGAAGTGAAAGACAAATCACTGAATGTGTAATTACTAACATGTTATTTTTAAGTAGTTATCACTTTCCTTTTACTTTCAAGATATTTTATACTTGCCACCTTCATGAAAGTTTTCAGTACATGTGCTGACCTGGTCCCTGATTGTGTGTATGTAAGAGGAGTTTAAAGTCTTTATACAAGGATGAATACATAGGAAATGGGAAGCTGAATTAATTGCTACCAAGACATACAAAGACCCAGTGGAATGACACGTGGCGCAATAATTGACATTTCGCTAAGCCACGCCCCACTTAGTTACTGTTGCTAAGTCCGACAAACTGTCTCTCCTACGCCCGCACCTTGTATATATATACACACACACACAACAGTGAGACCTGGCCTTCGGCTCCCATTTTTCTTCAGCACTGAGCTGTCTAAAGAGCAGAAGATTTGTCGGAAAAGAAGAGCGATGTCTTCTAGCAAGTCGGCCCGAGCGGGGCGGGACGCCACTACATCAGTACGGGTGGGACCTCCATTCCCCATGCTGGGTGCGCTCACCTGGGGGGGTTAATCTACAGCTTAAAGCTCAAAGCAACAAGCAGTACACTCTCTGTTCAGGGTCAGAGGTCCCTTCACACACCCCTGCCCACAGCAACTGTGTATGAGCCCACGACAGCGGACATTTCGCTTCGAAATCGCTTGGAAAAATTCAGCCAAATAAAAAGCTAGAAAATGACTCATTTTGCACTAGAGTCAATGGAGCGCAGCTCTGAAAGTATCAGACCTCAGTTTGGCTACGTTCAGACTGGGCTTGAGCCTTAATGCTCAATTCAATGCTCAGATCCGATTTTTTTTGTTTGACAGTTCACATTATTGTTTAAATGTTGCCTAATCTCAGACTCCAGTGTGAACTGCCCGTAGCCTGAATGTGACCCGCATGCGCAGAAGAATAACACGACGTCTTATGCAGCAGCACACTGTTGTAGGCTACAGAAGTAAACATGAGCAACAGAGGTTATCTCCTGTTAGCTCATGAGAGACTCCGGTTTTTCATTGTCCTCTCACAGGTCACATTTCTCCCGATTTATGACAAGTGTTCACAGCTTTCTCGTTCATTTCATTATGGTTTCTGCTGCTGGAAAACGCAACTGCCGCACAACTCACTCACCCTCACAGCGCACACAGTGGGGAGAGAGACTTTGACAAGCGCTGGGACAAGTAGCACGTACATAACTCAGAAGAGAGCTCGTGGTCCGGTGGATTTCAGGTGTAAGAAAGGGAATTTGCAAGCAGATGATAGCGAGGTAGAGGAGGAAGAGAGCCACATGCTTAAATTATGGCATTTGTGGACCTTTTTTTCTTCACCGCGGCTCCGTCTTCTACAGCAGGACAGTGAAAACATTTTGATGTGTAAAATATAAAAAAGCTTGTAGAAATTGCAACCTATTGAAATTTAGTAATTAACCTATTTCTCACAAAAGTTATCTAATTATTTGTTTCCTTGAACATTATTCCATCCATCCATCCATCGTCAACCGCTTATCCTGCGTACAGGGTCACGGGGGGCTGGAGACAACATGACATTAGATCATTACAATACAACTGAAAACATTACTCCCACAAATACTTAAAAGTATAAAAGCAAATAATTTAAATTAGGTAAATCAAGATAAACGATTTAAAAAATGATAATGTCTTATAAAGGTGTGAGAGAAGGAAGTGCTTAAAATACATTTCTAGGGAGTTAAGTAATTTTAATGACTCTTACTATTAACTATTATGTCTCAAGCAGGGACGGACTGGCCAATTGGGAGAACCGGGCCAAATCCTGGTGGCCTGCGGGCTAATTTGGCCTGCCATTGACAGTCTTGAACAACAACAAAACATCATCTATCAAACTTGAGCCAGCACACACTCTATTCCATTCATTGTCAACCGCTTGCAGGGGCTGGAGCCTATCCCAGCTGACATTGGGCGAATGGCAGGGTACACCCCGGACAGGTCACCCATCCATCACAAGGCGCTCTATTCACTTTCTACAAATACAGCTTTTAGAAAGCTTCAACTCATCTTATCAAATGAAACAGTCCTTTCACTTTCCACAATAACAATTATCTACAAAACATTATATTCTAAGCAAACACATTTTAAGAATATGTCAGTCATGAAGTAACATTTGTATTTCAAGCAAATTTATTAGCAAATTTTAACAAAACTCCCTTAACCGCTATGCATCATGGGAAGTCTGAGGGGCGGACGATCAGGAGACTGTACAGGGTATTTTATTTTGAAAATTGACTGGATTCTCACTGTTTTATGCCTGACTTCCTGCCTGGTTCATTTCCTCTGTGCTGCTTGACGGATGCCGCGCAAAAATACAGTTTGCTTCTCTCTGGAGCGGAGCAGGAGACACTTCTGGGACGCACTGCAGCGCTACTGGTGTGAGCACAGATTAGAATGGCTGCGATCCGCTCCGGCAGCCGCGACGCAGACAGACTCAGTGAGTCCGGGGTCATGTAAACTTGGTATTAACTGACTTGGTAGCAGGTGGGCACCTTGATGAAGCTCCGCCCTCGTCTCGCGCCCTCACTGTTCACATACGCTACTTTAAGGATCAGTCCCAAAAGTCATTAGATGAACATGGTAAAGACTATACCTGGTTTGGTACCTGTTACATCAACAAAAAGGGTTTGTCCCATAGACCAGGGGTTTTCAAAGTGTGAGGCGGCCCTCCCTAGGGGGCTCCAAACAGTTTCAGGGGAGGCTCAGTGAATGGAAATGAAACATTACATTACTTATTGCATTAGTTATCAAAATGAGATCACATAGAATAGCCTACATGTGTGAGAGTTCAGAGATACAGTAGTTTGGGGAACAGTTTCCCCCCATCAGAGTCAGAAACAGTCAGAAAAAAGATAATATAATCATGATCTCATAGACATCCAGGAATTGAGCGAAATTTTTTATTTAAATTAAACACGGGGGGGGGGGTCACCATTTCCCAAGCTTTGTATGAGGAGAGGCCCAAAGTCTCAGACTTTGAAAACCCCTGCAATAGACTGCAATAGACCCCTGGTCTCAAGGATTTTAAAAAGATGGCAAAATATTTTTTTAATGCTTCAGAAACAAGAGAATTACATTTATGTTTTTCCATTTTCGGCAACGAAATGCATTTTTGTCCGTTTGAGATAATACAATGCCTAAAAATCTGTGCATCATTTGGGGGAAAACTTAATGGTTTCCCAGGAAAGAAATCCTCCTGTAGAGTTTACATTCTATTTTGTAATTAATTATTCTACAAATGTCTGTCAATGTGAAACCATAACACAACAAAAATTGAGGATGACTAATTTTCAATCCTGCCCCCTAAATAAGGTAAAAATTGTCTGATGTTGCTGTTCTTAAATTACATAACATGGGTAGAGTAGGAATTTGGCTTAAAGCGCATTATTAATCATTACTAATCTCAAGGTCTAGGTCAAAGTCAAACTTTATTTAAATAGCACGTTTACAAACAGTCACTACTGCCCCAAAGTGCCGTACAGATACAGAGAACAGCATAAGATAAAAAGCATTATAAATAGCCGAATAAAACCCTTCTAAAACAGAATATGCCAAAAACAATAAAAACAGACAACAGATAAAAACTATACTTAATAAGCAATAACAACGATAAAATGTCACAGCTCAGCATATGTTAAAAGCCAGTGCAAAAAGATGTGTTTTTAAAAGTGATTTAAAGCTCTCAATAGAGTTAGCTGCTCTAATGTTGAGAGGAAGAGAGTTCCAGAGGACCTGCTACTGAAAAAGCTCTGTCCCCTCTGGTTTTCAGTCTGGACCTTGGTCTAAGAGCAGCTGGTCAGTGGACCTAAGTGCTCTGACTGGAGTGTGCAAAATCAGCATATCAGATAAATACAATGGTGCCAGCCCATTAAGAGATTTAAAAATTAACAATAAGATCTTGAATGGATTCTAAAAACGACAGGCAGGCAGTTGAGAGACGACAGTACAGGGGTGATTTTCCCTGTCAGCAGGCGTGCAGCCGCATTCTGAACTAATTGTAATCGGCGAACTGAAGACTGATCAAGGCCATAGTACAATGAGTTACAATAGTCCAGGCGATTTGTGATCAGGGCATGCACAACTTTTTCCAGTTTGCTATGGGGCAGGTAAGGCTTGACCTTCCCAAGAACTATGTGTTGAAGGAAGCTTGTTTTTACCACTGAGCTAATCTGTTTATCCAGTTTAAAAGAACTGTCAATAAAAATACCAAGACTTTTTACAAATGGGCAGCAGTTTGAGGATATTGGACCAAGAGCACTGTTAAAACCAGAGACATCGTGCTCCCCAAAAATTACAACTTCAGTTTTTTTGTCATTTAAGTTTAAAAAATTCAGTGACATCCAGTCTTTTACTTCATGTAGACATTTTCTCAGTGCTTCAACTGAATTTGTTTTGGTATTCAAAGGTAGGTAAATTTGGACATCATCTGCGAAGCAGTGAAAGGAAATCTTGTATTTTTGGAAGATTGATCCCAGGGGTACAGTGAGAACAAGACTGGGCCTAAAATTGAGCCTTGAGGCACCCCGCTGTCAATCGGGGCTTTGTTTCAGTAAAAAGGCCCGAGATTTACAGAAAAAGACCTGTCTGTCAGATTTGACTGAAACCACTTCAGAGCTGTGCCTTTAATGCCTGCACAGGACTAGAGTCTGGACAATAAAATCTTGTGGTCAACTGTATCGAACGCTGCAGTCAAAACTAAAAGCACTAGCACAGCAGAGCTACCAGAATCAGAAATAAAAAGAAGATTATTAAAAACTTTTAAAAGAGCAATTTCTGTATTGTGACAAGATTTTAAACCAGACTGGAATTTTTCCAATTTTTCTCAGCCCAGCAGCAGCTGCCTGAAGAATGAGAACTAGGATTTACAGATACACTGCAGAGCAGTGGGGCCAGGTGCCCTTAGTTACTGCAATCAACCTCAGCTCTTCACCTGCAAGGGAAAGAGAGAGATTGGCCTCACCCACACATGACCCCACAGGACATCATAATAGTCAATGAAGTCTGGCATTCATGGAACAGTTCAATCCTGTCCATCCCAACCTCCCAAAATTCATCAGATCAGAACAAACTTCCTTAGTCAAAGCACTTCCTGAGTGACTCAAGGAGTTGGGTGGGGTAAAAAGCAGACCAATTGAGATATTAGATGTTCAGAAGTAGAGACTGAAGACACTG